CTTACCCTATATGACCATGTCACCAGTGTCAACACAAAATCTTACCCTACATGACCGTGTCACCAGTGTCAACACAAAATCTTACCCTATATGACCATGTTACCAGTGTCAACCGAAATCTTACCCTATATGACCATGTTACCAGTGTCAACACAAAATCTTACCCTAAATGACCATGTTACCAGTGTCAACACAAAATCTTACCCTATATGACCATGTTACCAGTGTCAACACAAAATCTTACCCTACATGACCATGTCATCACTGTCGTACCACAGACAGAGTGAGGTAAGACCTGTAGATGGAGTATGAGGTGTAATACCACAGACAGAGAGGGGTGAAACCTTTAGATGGAGCATGAGGTGTGATACCACAGACCGAGTGGGGTGAGACCTGTAGAGGGAGTATGAGGTGTGATACCAGGGGTGAGACCTGTAGATGGAGAATGAGGTGAAATACGACAGACAGAGTGGGATGAGACCTGTAGATGGAGTATCAGGCGTGATACCACAGACAGTGATGGGAGACCTGTAGACCGAGTATGAGGTGTGATACCACGGACAGAGTGGGGATAAACCTTTAGATGGAGTATGAGGTATGATACCACAGACAGACTGGGGTGAAACCTTTAGATGGAGTTTGAGGTGTGATACCACAGACAGAGATGGGAAAGACCTGTAGATGGAGTATGAGTTGTGATACCACAGACAGAGTGAGGTAAGACCAGTAGATGGAGTATGAGGTGTGATTCCACAGACAGAGTGGGGTTAAACCTTTAGATGGAGTATGAGGTGCGATACCACAGACAGAGTGGGGGGAAACCTTTAGATGGAGTATGAGGTATGATCCCACAGACAGAGTGGGGTGAAACCTTTAGATGGAGAATGAGGTGTGATACCACAGACAGAGTAGGGTGAAACCTTTAGATGGAGAATGAGGTGTGATACCACAGACAGTGATGTGAGACCTGTAGACCGAGTATGAGGTGTCATACCACAGACAGAGTGGGGGGAGACCTGTAGATGGAGTATGAGGTGTGATACCACAGACAGAGTGGGGTAAGACCTGTAGATGGAGTATGAGGTGAAATACGACAGACAGAGTGGGGTGAGACCTGTAGATGGAGTATGAGGTGTGATACCACAGACAGTGATGTGAGACCTGTAGACCGAGTATGAGGTGTGATACCACAGACAGAGTGGGGTGAAACCTTTAGATGGAGTATGAGGTGTGATACCACAGACAGAGTGGGGTGAGACCTGTAGATGGAAAATGAGGTGTGATACCACAGACAGAGTGAGGTGAGACCTGTAGATGGAGTATGAGGTGACATACCACAGATAGAGTGGGGTGAAACCTTCAGATGGAGTATGAGGTGTGATACCACAGACAGAGTGGGGTGAGACCTGTAGATGGAGTATGAGGTGTGATACCAGACAGAGTGAGGTAAGACCTGTAGATGGAGTATGAGATGTGATACCACAGACAGAGTGGGGTGAGACCTGTAGATGGAGGATGAGGTGTGATACCACAGACAGTGAGGTGAGACCTGTAGATGGAGTATGAGGGGTGATACCACAGACAGTGAGGGGAGACCTGTAGATGGAGTATGAGGTGTGATACCACAGACAGAGTGGGTCGACACCTGTAGATGGAGTATGAGGTGACATACCACAGACAGAGTGGGGTGAAACCTTTAGATGGAGTATGAGGTGTGATACCACAGACAGAGTGAGGTGAGACCTGTAGATGGAGTATGAGGTGTGATACCACAGACAGTGAGGTGAGACCTGTAGATGGAGTATGAGGTGTGATACCGCAGTTAGAGTTAGGGGGGACCTGTAGATTGAGTACAAGAGGGTGATACCACACAGTATTGTATAAGATACCCATCATTATAGTTAGGTGCAGCACTGGCTTGCCTCATCCTGTGTATAAAAACACCAGTTCAGACCCACCCAACCCAGTTATATCAAAACTGTGCCTTCATCAAGTGTTCTAGGTAGAGCTGCTTTATTTCACTGTCTACATTCATGGAGAAACTGCTGAGATTCTCAGTTCTGCTCCAATTTCACAAAACTTTGAAACAAAAACTCTTGGCATCCTACTTGCATGTGTTTTTCCACAGAGATAAGTATGATATTGAAACATAGAAATTGTACAAGACAGAATGGAGCACCAATTAGTGGGATACAACTGGGGCTATCTACTCGTACAAAAGGAATGTCTCAGATTCAACATATAGCAATCTTTTTCTTCATACATTTTTTATTATTATCATATTTCTTCATGTACTCTACACAATAAATTTGGAATGCTTGTTTTCTTTTTTCTTAATTACTAAATATTTTTTAGGCTCTAAAAATAATACGTGATTATGAAGAAAAATTACACAGAATGCATATTTATGGCAGATAATAAACAAAGCTTAGAGAGAAGATTGAATAATATTGTTTATGTAAGATAGATGTAAAGACTCGTATGTCATCTATGATGAGGTTTAAGTTAAAGGAAAGGCAATGCTAAGTGTATTTTATATGATGTTGATAATACTATCCGACATTAATGTGTAATGTTAAATCAACATTTAAACAGCTATGGATGGCAGTGCTGATCATCTTAACACAGACAGTATGCAACTGCCACGAGCACACATGTCGGTTTACTTAACTAAGCATATCACTAGGTATTATATAATATAATAATATATCATCCAAAGCCATATATAATCCAAAGCAGGGAGTTATAGAGAGAGATTGGTCACTTGTCCCGTGGATTATGAACCTTATGACACTTTGTGAATGATTTGTCTCCCCGATTTGTTATGTATGACTTAACTCTCTTGGTTGCCATGTATGACTTAAATCTTGATTGCCATGTATGACTTAAATCTTGATTGCCAGGTATGACTTAAATCTTGATTGCCAGGTATGACTTAAATCTTGATTACCATGTATGACTTAAATCTTGATTCTCATGTATGACTTAAATCTTGATTGCCAGGTATGACTTAAATCTTGATTGCCAGGTATGACTTAAATCTTCATTGCCATGTATGACGGACATCTCTTGATTGCCAGGTATGACTCAACTCTTGATTGTCATGTATGACTTAAATCTTGATTGCCAGGTATGACTTAAATCTTGATTGCCAGGTATGACTTAAATCTTCATAGCCATGTATGACAGACATCTCTTGATTGCCAGGTATGACTCAACTCTTGATTGCCAGGTGTGACTTAAATCTTTGGATTTATTCAGAGCTTTATAACCACATGGTTGAATGTGAAAATTGTTGTGAAAACAAACCCTTCACTTTGGTATAAGTACCTGTTCTTTTTATGTTGTAGGCTTTGTTGATAATGCATCTTTTTGATTTCAGTTTCCAAATAAGGTAAATAGAGTTCTTTGATAATTATCCTGCAATATATCACTTCTGACAGCAGTATTTCAATATTTCAATATTAGCTTCAGTACTAATTTATAAGTGAACAAACACAAACCCAACCTGCGATAAAACCACTGTGGTGAGTTGCATATCTCCCTAATAAACATTAAAACCAAATGTCATGTAAATAATTTGATTCTTTCTGATAAATTTGATTAAATTCACAAATATTGAGAAGAATTATCAAGGTAATTTTATGTACAGAAAATTTCTCACATCTACCGTAACTGTTGCTAGTGAACGTATTTTATGTACAGAAAATCTCTCACATCTACCATAACTGTAGCTAGTGTATTTTATGTACAGAAAATCTCTCACATCTACTGTAACTGTTGCTAGTGTATTTTATGTACAGAAAATCTCTCACATCTACCGTAACTGTAGCTTGGGTATTTTTAGTCCGCTAAAACTGACCGTAATCGCAGGCTCAAAAGTTCTGATCGGTCGCCTGTTTATGTCAACTATCGACTGCTCTACAAAACACAGGGATTGTCAACGAAATCTTGACGGCAGCGACTGTGAGTGTTTTACATGTTTGTTAGAGATCATAGTTATACCTATATTTCAGTTGATTCATTTCTCACTCACTTGATTAGATGTCATGTCTGTACTCTATACATAATGGACGCTACATCGTTTTATTCTATTGAGGTGCTTTCGACTGCTCACAAAGACAGCCATTTTGCCTTCAACAATTATAGCGCAAAGTAGACAATCAAAATTACTTTCGGTTAATTTGATCAAATGTAAATATTGGTTACGCACATTAATTAGTAATACCAAAATAACTTGATATTTCCAACACTTTTCAGCATTATAATAAGGAAAACAACTCGATCGCAAGGAAAAGGTAAACTGGTACACGTGTTTTTGTTGTCAACAAGTCAAAATGTTTCCGGCAATTCTGATTGGCCAATATATATTGATGTTTGCAAGATTGCTGTCGATATGAGCCGTCAAAAGCATCTCAATTGAATAAAATGATGTAGCGTCCATTATGTATAGAGTACAGACATGACATCTAGTCAAGTGAGTGAGAAATGAATCAACTGAAATATAGGTATAACTATGATCTCTAACAAACATGTAAAACACTCACAGTCGCTGCCGTCAAGATTTCGCTGACAATCCCCGTGTTTTAAAGAGCAGTCGATAGCTGACATAAAGAGGCGACCGATCAGCATTTTTGAGCCTGCAATTATGGTCAGTTTTAGTGGACTAGGGTATTTTATGTACAGAAAATCTCTCATATCTATCATAACCTGTAACAAGGGTATTTCATGCACAAAATTTTCATATCTACCGTAACCTGTAGCTAGGGTATTTCATGTACTGGAGATCTCTCAGATCTACCGTGACCTGTAGCTAGTGTATTTTATGTACAGAAAATCTCTCACATCTATCGTAACTGTAGCTTGGGTATTTTATGTACCGGAGATCTCTCAGATCTACCGTAACCTGTAGCTAGGGTATTTCATGTACCGGAGATCTCTCACATCTACCGTTACCTACAGGGTATATCCTCTCACAGGGTTAGGATATGATGACTTACCCTTCTTAGACTTGGCACCGATCTTGAGTTTGGAGGGCCAAGTTATCTGAGTATTAGTTTCATCCATAATCTGAAAAAGAAACATTTTTTAGTTAATTGCGTTCGAAGCTGTCTGCTGGTGTGATGCACAAGGTGATGAAAGTGCATGTTGAGGATTTCTCTTGATCCTGTTGGATACAAACTGGGTCCTAAATTCTCTAATACTGATAACACTACAGGTCTTACAGATTTCTGGTCACCATGACATTCCTCAATATTTGTACTTTAATACGAACACATTTATTCTATCATTAGTTTCAAGTGTACCAACATATACATATAAACAGGAAACAATGATAACAATTTAACATTTTATCTCTGTAAATCATTAGACTCTGCAACTCTTTTCATTAGCAAATTAAAGGGTAAAATCTTGCTTTCCCTTACAAATTTGGCTAACGACTTTAGAACATAGATGCATGGGAACTTCATTCAAACTTATCTCAAGTTCAATTTGTTCAATAACATTGATAGAAACTATGTTTTATTAACCTTTTCCGGGTCAATAAAGATTGTTGAGGTCCGTAATACTTTTTTTCTTTATTATGATATTCTTGATTACTATATTTGACCATAAAAAGGCCCCCAACCGCAGTTAAAGAAGATTGACGAAAGTACACTAAACAGTTCTACACAAGGTTCATTACTACACTATACAGTTCTACATGAGGTTCATAACTACACTAAACAGTTCTACATGAGGTTCATTACTACACTAAACAGTTCTACACGAGGTTCATTACTACACTAAACAGTTCTACACGAGGTTCATTACTACACTAAACAGTTCTACACGAGGTTCATCACTACACTAAACAGTTCTACATGAGGTTCATTACTACACTAAACAGTTCTACACGAGGTTCATTACTACACTAAACAGTTCTACATGAGGTTCATTACTACACTAAACAGTTCTACATGAGGTTCATTACTACACTAAACAGTTCTACATGAGGTTCATTACTACACTAAACAGTTCTACATGAGGTTCATTACTACACTAAACAGTTCTACATGAGGTTCATTACTACACTTAACAGTTCTACATGAGGTTCATTACTACACTAAACAGTTCTACATGAGGTTCATTACTACACTAAACAGTTCTACATGAGGTTCATTACTACACTTAACAGTTCTACATGAGGTTCATTACTACACTTAACAGTTCTACATGAGGTTCATTACTACACTAAACAGTTCTACATGAGGTTCATTACTACACTAAACAGTTCTACATGAGGTTCATTACTACACTTAACAGTTCTACATGAGGTTCATTACTACACTTAACAGTTCTACATGAGGTTCATTACTACACTAAACAGTTCTACATGAGGTTCATTACTACACTAAACAGTTCTACATGAGGTTCATTACTACACTTAACAGTTCTACATGAGGTTCATTACTACACTTAACAGTTCTACATGAGGTTCATTACTACACTAAACAGTTCTACATGAGGTTCATTACTACACTAAACAGTTCTACATGAGGTTCATTACTACACTTAACAGTTCTACATGAGGTTCATTACTACACTTAACAGTTCTACATGAGGTTCATTACTACACTAAACAGTTCTACATGAGGTTCATTACTACACTAAACAGTTCTACATGAGGTTCATTACTACACTTAACAGTTCTACATGAGGTTCATTACTACACTTAACAGTTCTACATGAGGTTCATTACTACACTAAACAGTTCTACATGAGGTTCATTACTACACTAAACAGTTCTACATGAGGTTCATTACTACACTTAACAGTTCTACATGAGGTTCATTACTACACTTAACAGTTCTACATGAGGTTCATTACTACACTATACAGTTCTACATGAGGTTCATTACTACACTAAACAGTTCTACATGAGGGTCATTACTACACTAAATAGTTCTACATGAGGTTCATCACTACACTTAACAGTTCTACACGAGGTTCATTACTCCACTAACCAGTTCTACATGAGGTTCATTACTACGCTTAACAGTTCTACATGAGGATCATTACTACACTAACTATACAGTTCTACATGAGAATCATTACTACACTAACTATACAGTTCTACATGAGAATCAATACTACACTAAACAGGTCTACACAAGGTTCGTTGCTACACTAAACAGTTCTACATGAGGTTCATTACTACACTAAACAGTTCTACACAAGGTTCGTTACTACACTAAACAGTTCTTCACAAGGTTCGTTACTACACTAAACAGTTCTAAATGAGGTTCATAACTTCACTAAACAGTTCTACATAAGGTTCGTTACTACACTAAACAGTTTTACACGAGGTTCATAACTACACTTAACAGAACGAGGATTATCAGTTTTGTACCAGATTATTTGTATCATCCATCAATGATAATTTGTAAATGAATCAAACACAGGTGCACTTTTTATGATGGAACATTTCTAACATATTTTAGTATAACCGTCTGACATAACGTAGGACTAAAGAAATTAAGTCCATGGGAGGCCAATTACTGGGGCATACAACAGCCTGGTAACCTGCCACTTATATTTCATATCAATTCACATCATTTAGGGAATATTTGCAAGAACATAACTCTACTCTGCCCCACCTCTTCTCATCGATCACCATCATGTACAAATAACAACACAGTTCTTACATCAAACATAACAGAAGTATGTAAGTCTGATTCCTTATGAACAGTATTTACATGTTTCCCCTAAACAGTATAATAGCTATATAATGTGAAAACCATCTAGGTGCAAATCTATTACGGAGGTTTGTTTGGGGTTCTGGAAGATAGAGAGCCTTTCTTATTTCAACTGGGGCATTTCATCTTCAAAGAAAAATACAAGCTGTGATACAAGCTAGCTCATACTGATATAGACATATAAAACTGTTAACCTTAGATCTGTCTAGGTCATACTGACATGCACAGGTCAATCTGTTAACCTTAGATCTGTCTAGGTCATACTGATATAGATATGTAAAACTGTTAACCTTAGATCTGTCTAGGTCATTCTGATATAGACATAAGTCTGGGGTCTATGTTAGGTCTGTCTAGGACATTCTAACATAGATAAGTCTGTGGCCTATCTTAGGTCTGTCTAGGTCATTCTGATATAGACAGATAAGTCCGGGGTCTATCTTAGGTCTGTCTAGGACATTCTGACATAGACAGATAAGTCTGGGGTCTATGTTAGATCTGTCTAGGACATTCTGACATAGACAGATAAGTCTGGGGCCTATCTTAGGTCTGTCTAGGTCATTCTGTTATAGACAGATAAGTCTGGGGTCTATCTTAGGTCTGTCTAGGTCATTCTGACATAGACAGAGAAGTCTGGGGTCTATCTTAGATATGTCTAGGACATTCTGACATAGATAAGTCTGGGGTATATCTTAGGTCTGTCTAGGACATTCTGACATAGACAGATAAGTCTGGGGCCTATCTTAGGTCTGTCTAGGAATTCTAACATAGATAAGTCTGGGGCCTATCTTAGGTCTGTCTAGGTCATTATGATATAGACAGATAAGTCTAGGGTCTATCTTAGATCTGTCTAGGACATTCTGACATAGATAAGTCTGGGGCCTATCTTAGGTCTGTCTAGGTCATTATGATATAGACAGATAAGTCTAGGGTCTATCTTAGGTCTGTCTAGGACATTCTGATATAGACAGATAAGTCTGGGGTCTATGTTAGGTCTACAGAAATATGTAAGTCTGATTCCTTATGAACAGTATTTACATGTTTCCCCTAAACAGTATAATAGCTATATAATGTGAAAACCATCTAGGTGCAAATCTATTACGGAGGTTTGTTTGGGGTTCTGGAAGATAGAGAGCCTTTCTTATTTCAACTGGGGCATTTCATCTTCAAAGAAAAATACAAGCTGTGATACAAGCTAGCTCATACTGATATAGACATATAAAACTGTTAACCTTAGATGTGTCTAGGTCATACTGATATAGACATGTAAAACTGCTAACCTTAGATCTGTCTAGGTCATACTGACATACACAGGTCAATCTGTTAACCTTAGATCTGTCTAGGTCATTCTGATATAGACAGATAAGTCCGGGGTCTATCTTAGGTCTGTCTAGGACATTCTGACATAGAACATGTAAAACTGTTAACCTTAGATCTGTCTAGGTCATACTGATATAGATATGTAAAACTGTTAACCTTAGATCTGTCTAGGTCATACTGACATCCACATGTCAATCTGTTAACCTTAGATCTGTCTAGGTCATTCTGATATAGACATGTAAAACTGTTAACCTTAGATCTGTCTAGGTCATTCTGATATAGACAGATAAGTCTGGGGTCTATGTTAGGTCTGTCTAGGACATTCTGACATAGACAGAGAAGTCTGGAGTCTATCTTAGATCTGTCTAGGACATTCTGACATAGATAAGTCTGGGGCCTATCTTAGGTCTGTCTAGGTCATTATGATATAGACAGATAAGTCTAGGGTCTATCTTAGGTCTGTCTAGGACATTCTGACATAGATATATAAGTCTGGGGTCTATCTTAGGTCTGTCTAGGACATTCTGACATAGACAGAGAAGTCTGGGGTCTATCTTAGATCTGTCTAGGACATTCTGACATAGATAAGTCTGGGGTATATCTTAGGTCTGTCTAGGACATTCTGACATAGATAAGTCTGGGGTCTATCTTAAGTCTGTCTAGGACTTTCTGATATAGATATGTCTGGGTATATCTAAGGTGTGTCTAGGACATTCTGACATAGACAGATAAGTCTGGGGTCTATCTGAGGTGTGTCCAGGACATTCTGACATAGACAGATAAGTCTGGGGTCTATGTTAGATCTCTAGGACATTCTGACATAGACATATAAGTCTGGGGTCTATCTTAGGTCTCTCTAGGGCATTCTGACATAGATAAGTCTGGGGCCTATCTTAGGTCTGTCTAGGACATTCTGACATAGATATATAAGTCTGGGGTCTATCTTAGGTCTGTCTAGGACATTCTGACATAGATATATAAGTCTGGGGTCTATCTTAGGTCTGTCTAGGGCATTCTAACATAGACAGATAAGTCTGGGGCCTATCCTAGATCTGTCTAGGATTTCTGACATAGACAGATAAGTCTGGGGTCTATCTTAGGTCTGTCTAGGACATTCTGACATAGATAAGTCTGGGGCCTATATCTTAGATATGTCTAGAACATTCTGACACAGACCATAGTAATCAGCTTCATTCTGCCAAGGACATTCTAAGTGACACAGACGTATATTATAAGTCTAGGATATGTACTTGGTGTCTATTCGTGGTTAGTCTTTGGTCTACAGTATGTAGCGGTATGTACATATATAAACAGATGTGGTCTGTAGGGTCTGTGAAAACATATAAGGTCTGATCTAGCATACAAGGATACAATCCGGCATCTATTAATAAGGTTTAATTGATCATCAAACTATAACAAAAGAAATATATCTCAAATATGGCTCTCAGAGTTAACCCAAATATGAATGACTAGACAACTTTGTAATACCTTAAATCACTTAATAACTACCCAAATATGTCCTAGACTATACAACTTTGTAATACCCTAGCTAAATAACTTACTAACTGCCCAAGTATGTTATCGACTATATAACTTTGTAATACCCTAAATGACTTACTAACTGCTCAAGTATGTCATAGACTATACAACTTTGTAATACCATAATTGACTTACTAACTACCCCAGTATGTCATAGACTATCCAACTTCGTAATACCCTAATTGACTTACTAACTACCCCAGTATGTCATAGACTACACAACTTTGTAAAACCCTAAATGACTTACTAACTACCCCAGTATGTCATAGACTATACAACGTCGTAATACCCTAAAAGACTTACTAACTACCCCAGTATGTTATAGACTATACAACTCTATAATACCCTAAATGACTTACTAACTCCCCCAGTATATCATAGACTATACAACTCTATAATTCCCTAAATGACTTACTAACTACGCCAGTATGTCATAGCCTATACAACTTTGTAATACCCTAATTGACTTACTTACTACCCCAGAATGTCATAGACTATACAACTTTGTAATACCCCAAATGACTTACTAACTGCTCAAGTATGTCATAGACTATACAACTTTGTAATACCTTAAATCACTTAATAACTACCCAAATATGTCCTAGACTATACAAGTTTGTAATACCCTAGCTAAATAACTTACTAACTGCCCAAGTATGTTATCGACTATACAACTTTGTAATCCCCTAAATGACTTACTAACTACCCAAGTATGTCATAGACTATACAACTTTGTAATACCATAATTGACTTACTAACTACCCCAGTATGTCATAGACTATCCAACTTCGTAATACCCTAATTGACTTACTAACTACCCCAGTATGTCATAGACTACACAACTTTGTAAAACCCTAAATGACTTACTAACTACCCCAGAATGTCATAGACTATACAACGTCGTAATACCCTAAAAGACTTACTAACTACCCCAGTATGTTATAGACTATACAACTCTATAATACCCTAAATGACTTACTAACTACCCAAGTATGTCATAGACTATGCAACTTTGTAATACCCTAATTGACTTACTTACTACCCCAGTATGTCATAGACTATACAACTCTATAATACCCTAAATGACTTACTAACTACCCCAGTATGTCATAGACTATCCAACTTCGTAATACCCTAATTGACTTACTAACTACCCCAGTATGTCATAGACTATCCAACTTCGTAATACCCTAATTGACTTACTAACTACCCCAGTATGTCATAGACTACACAACTTTGTAAAACCCTAAATGACTTACTAACTACCCCAGAATGTCATAGACTATACAACGTCGTAATACCCTAAAAGACTTACTAACTACCCCAGTATGTTATAGACTATACAACTCTATAATACCCTAAATGACTTACTAACTACCCCAGTATGTCATAGACTATACAACTCTATAATACCCTAAATGACTTACTAACTACCCCAGTATATCATAGACTATACAACTCTATAATTCCCTAAATGACTTACTAACTACGCCAGTATGTCATAGACTATACAACTTTGTAATACCCTAATTGACTTACTAACTACGCCAGTATGTCCTGGACATAAACTGCAAATAAAATGAGCAAATAACACGGGAAGTTATGATTAAAGATATCTACACATTAAACATAAACGTATATTGACATACTCTAGCCTTTTACTGACAAATCGGTGCTTGCAGAAATAAGTAAAGAGACATCCACGTTCTGGTAAGGACACTTACACCACAATGGAAGGGATAGAAAGCCGACTAAAACAATCTTGTAGACACAATATTTACTGCTGACTACCAGAGCCCTTTAATTCTTGCCACACAGTATATATATACAAACATATCTACTTCTTATCTTTGAGAATGTACATTTCACCCCACAAAATTGGTTGTGTATCTGGAACTTTTGCCAAAGTCAACTTTATCACAAACGTACATAAAGGGAGACATGGGGTTATTTTCAGTGTAATGCATACTTGTATACAAGACAAACATTTGAGTGACCTGACTGAGGACAGACGCGAATGTCCAGTGGTCAGATTTACCTGGACGTGTGCCTGTTTACCTTAGTCTTATACTGGTATAAATCACACGTATACATTAACACCCAAACATGAAAACTTTCAATTTGGGAAATAACAACTGTCTCAAACATAATGTCTGAATTCTAATAATTTTCAGCACAGTATACTTATAAGTGCTTGTGTTTCTCATAGACTATAATTTCACTATATTTGAGGTTTGAAAAATGTGTAAAATACCATTCCCACACATTTGTTGGTAAAGAACTACTTAATATGTTGACAAATTTTTCCTACAGAAAATTTCAAGGGCAGCATTTCTGTTCTAAATTATGACAGGTTTATATGAGATTTTATCTCAATAGATTTTCTTTTAGTTTTAAATAATTAGGTCACCATTTACCTCAATGTTTTGACTTTATAAAGCTAGAGGCTTACCTAATTAAGAGCTATATAAATGGTTTCCCTTTATATATTTACTTTATAAAGTTAGAGACTTTCCTTAAAGCTATATAAATGGAATCCCTTGACTTTATAAAGCTAGAGGCGTACCTAATTAATAGCTATATAAATGGTTTCCCTTTATAAATTTACTTTATAAAGTTAGAGACTTTCCTTAAAGCTATATTAATGGAATCCCTTGACTTTATAAAGCTAGAGGCTTACTTAAATAGCTATATAAATGGTTTCCCTTGACTTTATACATTTTGAGGGGTCGCTAATAGCAATTAAATGGTAAATATAATTTAAAGGCTTACCTATATGTTAGTTTTAGACATGTGTGTCTGTATATCATATAAACACTTTAGACCAATGTTTTCTCAATCATTGACAGATCTTATTCCACATATTTATAGGTGATCTTATAGAGAAGCTCAAATCTCCATTTTCCGGTTCAAACTGATCTGCCTGATAGTAGAACAGCCTATCTAGTCCTCTACCCTTACCCGCTGAAAGAACTCCTCAGCTGATTCTTCATCTTCATCCAGGTGACCTGTAAAACAAAGACAGTGTTATCAATATACCAGTAAATACATAAACCCTGGTCTACAGCACATAAACCCTGGTCTACAGCACTTAAACCCTGGTCTACAGCACATAAACCCTGGTCTACAGCACTTAAACCCTGGTCTACAGCACATAAAACCTGGTCTTCAGCACATAAACCTTGGTCTACAGCACTTAAACCCTGGTCTACAGCACATAAACCCTGGTCTTCAGCACATAAACCCTGGTCTACAGCACTTAAACCCTGGTCTACAGCACATAAACCCTGGTCTACAGCACTTAAACCCTGGTCTACAGCACATCATGAAACATGGCCGTGAATGCTACTCTAACTGAGAACAAAGTCAGAATTAGTGGGAGTAATTACAGTCTTACACCCTGTGGCATATAATTACAACATAACAACCTGATTTAGTATGGCCTAACGACAATGTAACACCCAGATTTAGTAACTGGAGTTTGTAGCTCCTCGTAAGTCTATACCTGTCTACCCTATATTGATGCTGTACTATCAGTACCCTGCAGCTAGTCCCAATACTTATAAGTGAAGTCATTGATTTATAAATTCACTGTAAACTGTCTTATAATCCACTTTGTTGAAATATGAAATTTGTTCATTTTAACAGGTCTTTTCCACATATACAGAAAGACGAAGAGATAATGGATTTTCCTGAGACAATCCCTTATTCACATAAAGGCCTGTAGTTGGTACAGGGATATATTATGTAGTTAGTACAGGGATACACTATGTAGTTAGTACAGGGATACACTATGTAGTTGGTACAGGGATACATTATGTAGTTAGTACAGGGATACACTATGTAGTTAGTACAGGGATACATTATGTAGTTAGTACAGGAATACATTATGTAGTTAGTACAGGAATACATTATGTGGTTAGTACAGGGATACATTATGTAGTTAGTAAAGGGATACATTATGTAGTTGGAACAGAGATACACTATGTAGTTAGTACAGGAATACATTATGTAGTTAGTACAGGAATACATTATGTAGTTGGTACAGGGATACATTATATAGTTAGTAAAGGGATACATTATGTAGTTAGTACAGGGATACAATATGTAGTTGGTACAGGAATACATTATGTAGTTAGTACAGGAATACATTTTGTAGTTGGTACAGGGATACATTATGTAGTTAGTAGTACAGGGATACACTATGTAGTTGGCACAGGGATACACTATGTAGTTGGTACAGGGATACCCTATGTAGCTAGTATAGGAATACATTATGTAGTTAGTACAGGGATACACTATGTAGTTGGTACAGGGATACCCTATGTAGCTAGTATAGGAATACATTATGTAGTTAGTACAGGGATACATTATGTAGTAAGTACAGGGATACATTATGTAGTTAGTACAGGGATATATTTTGAAGTTGGTACAGGGATACATTATGTAGTTAGTACAGGGATATATTTTGTAGTTGGTACAGGGATACATTATGTAGTTAGTAGTACAGGGATACACTATGTAGTTGGTACAGGGATACCCTATGTAGCTAGTATAGGAATACATTATGTAGTTAGTACAGGAATACATTTTGTAGTTGGTACAGGGATACATTATGTAGTTAGTACAGGGATATATTTTGAAGTTGGTACAGGGATACATTATGTAGTTAGTACAGGGATACAGTATGTAGTTGGTACAGGGATACATTATGTAGTTGGTACAGAGATACGCTATGTAGTTAGTACAGGAATACATTATGTAGTTGGTACAGGGATACATTATATAGTTAGTACAGGGATACATTATGTAGTTAGTACAGGGATACACTATGTAGTTGGTACAGGGATACACTATGTAGTTGGTACAGGGATACATTATGTAGTTAGTACAGGGATATATTTTGTAGTTGGTACAGGGATACATTATGTAGTTAGTACAGGGATACATTATGTAGTTAGTACAGGGATACATTATGTAGTTAGTACAGGGATACAGTATGTAGTTAGTACAGGGATATATAACGATGTTGGTACAGAGATAATTGGTATAGAAATGCCCTACGGGAATTATCGTAAAAGCCCTCATTATTTTGTGTTTACCATAGCTTTCCTTTCTCGGTAGTTTTCAAGCTGTTATTATTTTCTCTATTCATTGCTGATGTTCCACAGTCAGCAATGATCATGCGTGTACCATAATGAGAATTAAATATTCTTCCGTATGCCCTCATTTCACAACATATAGTTCAAATACAAGTATATATGTTGACAATGCCTTGAATTCTTATTCATAGATTCTTTTATTATAAACAAATGATAAATGTAGGTAGAGTATACTTATGTTTTGTTCAAGGGTTTATTTACTTAATCCTTCAAAAAATTAATCAAAACTGGTCTTGAACTTAATTTGAATGGATCAACATTTCAAGCATTGCTAATCTCTTATTCAAAAATCATCTGAAACTGTCAAAGTACCCACACTTGTCAAATAACAAAACACTTTGCTGAACCTGTAAATACCTGCTCAAAATGGTTATCAACCATAAACAAACAAAGTGGGTAGAAAGTGACAGGGACTTTATATAAATTGGAAGCTAATGTTACCAGCCATGGCCAGCCCAGACCTGTCCTATCTGATAGATGTACTCAGACCTGTCAACATTGACAGGTGTGTCCAATAGATGTGTCACGTGTCTTTGAAACAAAGACAATCAATTATTGATAAATGCCAATAGACAGTTTATTTTGCAACTTCACCTGAATATTGATTATACAGTAGGTAAAACACTCCCATCTAGGTGAACCAGGTAGAGTTGATTAGGTATTATTGATAAACAGTGACATATTATTTTCCCTTCCGTGTGAGGTGATTGTGTTATCTGATCTACAGACCGTAGTTATAATACAGTGTTTGTTGTTAGGTCTAGGGTATGATGGTCCAGGTCACTCCTGACAGCTTAAACCATATTTTGAAAACTTTAATTTTACACAAGTATTTCAAGGAAATCCTATTTTGAAAAGATTTAGAAGGAATTGGAGTCTAGATGAGCAAGATTCATGAGCATGCTATTTTACTTGGAACATATTTCTGTAACAAGTGTGTGCTAGTCTTGTTCATTAACTAACTCCTTCTGTGCATAGGAAAATCAGACAATTAAGCTACTCTCCCTTGTCTAATTCAATAAGTAAACATAAGAGAACAAATACGACCATGACCTTGAATGTTTGTCTACAGAGTTATCCACCATATACAGGTTATCAAACTCCATCAAAGTACCTACAGAAAATTACTATTTAGTCTTAACATAAAATAACGCCAAGAACAAATATTCACATCAATAGATATCTCAAAATGCATATAACTTCAGCTTCCTAATAAATGGATAAATGGACACAGGGTGGAGTGATGATCATGAGCAACACATAAACATCAATACAACTTCTCATGTACCAGTATTTACATCCTACAGTCCGTACAACTTCTCATGTACCAGTATTTACATCCTACAGTCCGTACAACTTCTCATGTACCAGTATTTACAGCCTACAGTCCGTACAACTTCTCATGTACCAGTATTTACAGCCTACAGTCCATACAACTTCTCATGTACCAATATTTACAGCCTACAGTCCATACAACTTCTCATGTACCAGTATTTACATCCTACAGTCCATACAACTTCTCATGTACCAGTATTTACAGCCTACAGTCAATACAAATCCTCATGTACCAGTATTTATGTTTACAGCTGATCATCGATACAAATACATGGACATCCTAAACCATGCCAATAAACACAAACCAAAGTATTCCACTACCACTCATTGTTCTATATAGGACAAGTTAACCCTACCCCAGTTATTTCAATTATACTTCAGTATAGTTTTGTTGAGGTGTTATTGTTCGCTGAAAACTACCACGAATGCAATAGGTGTAATACCACAGTCAATACACTGCTAACACTGTAGTTGTTTCTTCATTTGTTCCGAGACTGAATGGAATCCCTAGTCTAAAGGACATTCATCAATCAATATTGTTTTTGTTTATAATGGATTACAGGCCAAGGCTATAGCTAGTATTCTGACACCAGACTTAGTCCAGGGGCAGGAGACAAGGAATCAAGCTTTGATGAATCCAGCAAATTTTCAATGATCCACTCTTCACAAATGTCAACTTGTTAAAAATTGAATTTGTTAGAATGGACTCCAATGTTTGTGTTCCGTCAATGTTGACAGAAATACAAACGTAAGTTTTCAGCCCACATATATGTAACAAGTTTCTGAACAGTGACCATGTGTTGTACAATAGAAATATTGGCACTAGATCATCCTGTTATTCTGATGGTGTTTTTTTAAAGACAAGAGGCCCAAGGGCCTTAGCGGTCACCTGAGTTATATCATAGGTACTGGTAGCTTTATTTTATTGTTTAGATGTGATGTGGAAATCAGCATGTAAACTAAGTGAAATACAATACTTGTCATGTCATCAATGGATAAGAATTTGAAAATATTGGTAAATGTTCCCTTTGGGGCCCCGCCCTAGCCCCTGGGGATGGGGCAGGAATCC